TATACATATAATAAAGAGATCATACCTGGAGATGTGAAAGTGGCAGTTAAATGGCATATGCATCAAATCTGAATCCATGGGAATAAGTAAAATCTTCAAGAGATGTTATATAATATGAGAAGAGTAGGTGGCAGGGAGGAGAACACTAAGGGACGCCAACACTTCAGGGGCCATTGGGGAAAAGGAGCCTGAATACCATCCATTGTGCAGAGTGAATGCTGTTAGGATGAAAAGTGTGGATGACTCACACGTCTGTCACTCCACCTGGAAATTAAATCCCCATTTGGTCCCTTACAATATGGCACTAGTGTTACCTTTACATGCTAATTACATTTTTGTCTTATCTTCAGTGAGAAGTGTTTATTTACCACTGACCACAACTGTGCCTTTGAGAAAATTCCTTTTAGCAGCACCGCAGAATGTCTTTCCCTGGAGGCTTTGCACTTGGAAACAAACCCAGAAACAGTTCAGCACAGGTCAGGAGTATACACCCATCACCCTGAGAACTGACCATTTGGTTTTATTTTAGAAAAGAAATCCTTTGAGGCACATACATGTTTGTTATAGCATTTGATGCTTGAATTTTTCTATACTTCAGAATTATTTTTAATTTCAAGCTCTTCCCTCCCCCTCTTCCCAAGGGATAAAAACTTTTTTGTGGAATTTTGAGGATTTTTAGGCAATGTTTGATATGTTTCTGTTTTTCTTTTGGTGAAGAAGGTCATATGATCCCACAAAACTTAAGTCCAGGGCACTTGCAGATGGAAAAGTTCTGGCAGCGTTCTTAGGGCTGAGGAGGGACATAGAAGTTGGTCATTTTCATATGCCTCTATCTAGCATTTCCTTTTTATCATTCTGTTGAATAATTTCTAATCTAATATATGATATTCTTTTAGAGAAAACATAACTGCATCATCTGGCTTTTTAAGACTATATGCCTTATCGTTCCTGTCAGGGTAGCATTTTGTGCTGGCTCCTATTAGAGTCGATAAAGATTCTGTAGAAGGGATGGGAAAAAGTCCCTGGACCTTCTGCTTTGTCTGAATTGGTTGACAAACCAGATTTCCCCTTTTAGAGCAGAATTCACCTCTGGAAAAATGTTGCAGTCCCTCCCTTTTTCTCTGGACTTAACCTTAGAATCACTTCTAAAATAGTTTCTGTTTTTTGGGAATTTGACTATTCCATCAGTTAAGATTTGTTTGCAAGAAAACCAGAGACCCACCTGGATGTGAGTTGTGTGGATTACTTTATAATGTGACTGCTTTTTACTCTACTAGTTCTCTTATTCTTGGTTGTAGGTGAGATCGCCATACTTGGTGGTGTAGGAGAACAAAATGAAAAACTGTGGAGCTTTACGAAAAAGGCCTCACACATTCAATTGGACAGGTAATAGAGTTTATGCGTTTTGCACTTACTTTTAAGCATTTCAACTCTGTCTTTTTGTTTGTTTGCTTGTTTATTTTGTTTGTTTTCTCTGTTAAAGATTCTGATTAAGGGAGATAGAGGATATATTTTTCAAAGTTTCACTGCCCATTACCACTATTACTAGTGTGAAATAGTTGTGATTGCAATCTTTGTTATAGTATTACTACACATTTTCTTCAATTCCAGCGTATAAGAGAATTGTTAAATTTTAGAAATTCTGTACATGTCATTGAAATTGAGTCATATTTCAGTAAAGCAGATCTTTTGGTATAAGCTTGACAGTTGTGATTCTACCAATTTTCTGTCTTGTTTATATTTATTTGAGAAGAGAATCTTTATGGAACACCTTGCAAAGCCCTCACTGCCGTGAGAATCACTTACTGGGCTTCAGGATCCTTCAAGCATGTGACTGCTCTAAAATAGTCCTTGTATCTTTAACTCTCAGGTTAAAGTCTCATAAACTGAGCTTTGTTTCCTCAGCTTACCAGAAGTGCCTTTGTTGGTTGATGTGCCTTGTTTATCTGCTCAGTTGGATGACTCAGTTCTTAACATAGTGAAAGACCACATTTTTAAGCATGGAACGGTAGCATCTCGCCCACCAGTACAGATAGAAGAACTAGTAGAGAAACCTGGAGGCATCATAGTCCGATGGTGTAAGGTATGTAATTCAGAATTATAGAAGTAGCTTCCACGTTATGGATTTGATATTTGGGGGCCTTCAAAATTTTTTCATTAACTACCATTGAATATTTTCTTCTCTCCTCAAAGAAAAATCCCTTTTGCTTTACAATTAAAATAAAGTCACAGGGAACATGAACTGAGGTAGCTCTTCCAGTTTGAGATACAGTTTTGAAGGTACTTTTTAAAATATTTGTATCACAACATTTTTCCCCATCAGATATTTTCCAGACTTACCTCAATGAATTAAGGATTTCTTTTTTTTTTTTTTGAGACAGAGTCTCACTCTGTTGCTTGGGTTAGAGTGCCGTG